TTAAATTTATTTATCACAGTGCTCAGATGATGAATAAGAATTTGATAACTACAGGTGCCGTACAAATAAATCAATAAAACAATATCGGATGAAGAAATGTTCCTCAACTTAACTAGTCGACTCAAAAAGCATATGGCAAATTTTATCCACCCTCAAATTCGCCTTGATTGTAAGACACCAAAAGGATGATGCTTCAGTTTTTTCAAACTTATTGCCACTCCAAGTTGCAAAACTGTTATATTGGTCTTGAGCACGTAAATATGTCGAGTTTGTTATAGAAAACCTATTTCCATGTTTAAATAGACAAATTATATGATGCGGCGTTAATTTTAATAAAAAAAAATAAATAAAATAAATTGCATTTCATTTCAAGTTTGAAATGAATGCAAAAATATAATGAAGAAAATCAAACAAAAAAAATAAATTAGCAAAATATTTGACTAGTTTCAAATCACAAAACAGTCAATATGGTTGTTTTATGATTTGAAACTAGTCAAATATTTTGCCAATTTATTTTTTTGTTTGATTTTCTTCATTATATTTTTGCGCGACTAGCAGAAAGTTAAATTTCAAAAAGCCCGCTCTAAGCGGCCATATTGAATTTTAGTACCACTCCAATTTGATAGATGACAGCACATCGACTCAGAATATTACCATTGAGTTTCCCATTGAGTTGCACAGTGTATAAACTGAAACATTGAGATCAAAAGTGCCGACGCAGAGTGAGCGATCTGATTCTTTAGCTGTAAACTGTGTCACAGGGTTCAAAATGGCCGCGCCCTATGTTGGGCGTGTCGGACCTCTCTCTTGCCTCGTATAGTAATCAAAAGGCATTTCTTTATAAGCTTACCAGAACATACTTCTGTAACCAGAGCATTTCTTCATAACGTTTGGTAGTTGCTTTGGTTACATGTTACCAAAGCATATGTAGCTACATCTAACGAGGCATTTATTTATAAGCTTACTAATAAAAAATAACAAAATAAAAACATCCTAAAATTTCTAAAATTCAAATTCCGTTTAGAAATCCCTAAACTTAAATTAAATTTGACATATGACATTCAATAATAGGGAAACCATGTTATGCGTAATGTCACCACAGTAACCACAATACTGTAACCAAGTATGTTGTAGTAAGCTTATAAAGAAATGCCTAAAGTATGTGCAAACACCAGAATAGAAGATTAATCCATGATCGTTCGACATTCATTCAGACTTTAATTGGCCTTTTATATCCTACGCAAGTCATTTTCATTTGAATTAATTGGCCTGGTTTCTTACTAACATACAACCACGGTATGTATTCTTTATCTTAAGGCCAAGTTCAATGACAAGTGACGGCAACTTTTTTATCACAAGAAATACAGCTCTGAACGATAATATTTTCAAAAACTGTTTTCATAAATGGGTTCAAAAAACTGTAAAGAATGATGGAAAGTCCATGGTTTGTTTTACTTTTAATGCATAATATTTTAATAAGTGATATTTAACAAATATTTAAAAGTTATGGACTTTCCATCATTTTTTATAGTATTTAAAAGTTAAAACGCAAAATACATTCTTTTATTTTTGCCTAATTATTTCAGGATTCTTGTGATAAGATTTAGAAATGTAGGGCCCATAAGATGCTGCCATCTGCAAAATTGCAACATCGCTCCCTATGCAGACGAATGTAAAATGGCTTAGCCCAATTTGACCATGTTTCAGGGTGAGGGGCGAGGTGGTGTGCGGGGAAAGGTTGCAAGTAAATAAATTATTCTATAAATGCTATTTTCTGTTTGGAACACAAGCATGTTTGTTTTGATGCACCTACCATCTTTAAAAGTTTGTCAGTATATTAACGAGAAATCCTATATAATTCCCAAAGAAAAATATATTCTATTTATTGATATTTGTTATTTTTTAGGTTCAATGACTCGAAACATGATGATCAGCTACACCAAGAATATCCTTGATACTTAAAAAAATGGTATGAGATTAAGCAGATTTGATGCTATGTCACATTGTGGTGCGAAGACGTGGCTTGTATAAATTTAGGGTATCAGTTAATAGAAAACAGTACGCAAAAATAAATTTAAATGTGCAGATGCATCAGAGATAGCCATATTCCATACCACAATATGTCATGCGTGAACTCTATGAGATTTCATCGGCTAAATATCATTCCTCTGTAATGTTTTGTATCATTAGGAACACGCAACATTGTAAACAATTATGACCAGGGTTTTCTGACCTTTTCCTTAGTTCAGAGAGAATAAATGAATACTAAATAATGTATATTAATAAAAATTGAAAATATATATACTTTTAAGAGTTTTATTATGTCAGCCATAGTTTTATAAAAAAAATGAAAATAAACTGAAATTATACATTAAAAATACATTCATAAATTAACTATATTTATAACACTCATCGACTCTCTCCTGGCTAAAATATTATTTATCTATCTATTAGGCTCTGTTCTGCCTATTTTTTGCCTTTAGCCTCCTTCTGACACTTCCATTCGTTCTTATTTAGTGTAGTATCCACATAGTTTTAAGAATATCAAGTGTTATACCTATCTGATGCTTGGTCCTGCAAAGTTCATCTTCAGTACACCTGCTTATGTGACATCTATCATGTCAAGTTTGATTGAACACCCGTTTCTTGCCTATTACTCTTATACTTAACCAGAACTAGCTTAGACTTGAACGCATATGTCTAATTCGGCCAAAACACAGCCTTGGTACACAAATATCTATTTTACAGCTGGTTTCATTACAAAAAAACTGGAGTAAAGGGTAAAATTATCTCTTATATCCAGTACACTCGTATAATACACTTGAGTATTAGCCTATATTATTTTTGATTGAAGACGTATACATTTAAAAATGTCGTTTACTTAAAAATAAACATTTAATTTTGATATTTTATTTAACTCGATCAAAACATTAAATTATTATTTTCCATGGCTTATACCGGACCTGTATGTACTCTAGTAGCCACATAGATAAATTAATAAAGAAGATAGTAGGATCCCGTGTTAATTTTTGGAAACAAACAGTGCTGCGAATTAGTATGGAACGGATTTTTTTGGAACTACACTGGCTGATTGGCTTGCCAGTTAGAGGTCGAATAAGAAAGAGAAGAATAAAAAAAGAAGAGCTTTAAGCTAACCGCGGTTCATTCAAATATAATTTATTATTTTACATTTTTTGGCATTCATTACTCTAAAAAAAACTAATATTTACATCAAAATAATGCATTTAACATAAATATTAGTTTTATTTCGTAATAAAACCCCAAAAAATATAAACAAAAAATATAAACAAAAAATATTTACATTAAAATAAAATATTTGAAACATATATTTTAATTATTTATTATACAGTAATACATACATAATAGTAAATAACAATTGTAAGTAAAATGAATAGTAGGTAGTCTCCCCAATTCTTGGAAAAATGGACCATATTTTGTTGGGTGTCCCGTGTTTCCTATAAAAACAAAACAAAAAGTGTACATATGTCTTACTGAACAATTTCTCTTATCAAATATTAATAAAATACAACTTTTCTCTTTAGGACTTAAATTTCCGACTACTTTTATTTATTTATTGTTTTTCTTCGTTTCAAGGGTCGTTCAAATTGTTCATCACTAATTATTAAGTTTGCAACTAATTTCTTGTTTTTCTTATGCTGCTATATTTGTGCTTCGGCCTCAACTTATTCTAAAATCTAATTCTCAGGTTGTATATTGGAACTGGATACTGGATGCACAATTATCTAATGAAATTGGTACAGAATGTCCAGCTAACAGTTTACGTTTTGATGAAACCCTACTAAAAGACTCAGGCAAAAATGGTCCGCACAAAGATAGCGAGTATTATTATCTAAAGTTAAATTTAAAGTCTCAAACCAGTTCTGGCAAATTTTAATATGGGAAGGAAAATGAAAAAGGTTTAATATTTGATAATCCAACTTTCTGAATTTTAAAATAATACTTATTTAAACAATTAGGAGCTGAACAAGAATACTCTCGAAAATACTTGACTATACCCGGTACCCGGGCCAGACATTTCTTGTTTCAAATATAAAAACAGAATTGAAAATCTATGAAATATGAAATTATTGCTGCGTTTGAGAATCCACATCGGATGCATTTTTTACATCTCGAGCGTTTTTTTATCCACATCGGACACATCTGTCCCATTACATTTACGTATACTGAATCACGTGATCAAAGATTTTTTACATCTCAGATGCATCCGATGTGGATTCTCAAACGCGGCATATATAAGGTTAAGAAAACAATGATAAACAAAGTCCTTAAATAAATCTACACACCTTTAATATTAAATTGCTAATACTTACAAATTACATCAAATCAACACTGTTTATCTTCTTAAAAATAACTTGCCAATCTTTAGAACTTTCATCATAATTCATAAAATAAGTTTTAACATTTCATTATCATATTTGGCCTTCCGCCATCACGGTTTTTCATTTTTTACGAGGTTGTCAACTCCTTCTTTTAAAAATCCCAGCAATAGTATGGACATTGTATGGATGCTATGGTGCGCATGTAGATTGATAAAAAATTAAAGTAAGATGAATTTGAAATAACTCTCATCTCATGAAAGTTTACGGAAACCGGCAACATCGCTTTCATACTATTGCGACGGTGGCGCTAACTAATAGTATGCTGGGAACTACCACGTGTTGACAGTGGCGTGTATTTAAAAAATTCATCTTGTTTTATTAATTTATCTATGAGTAGCCATGGAGTAGCTGACACTGCTGACAGTGTTGCTGTTAGTTGCCGCCACATATTCATTAGTGACATACGTTTTATAAATTCATCGTATTAGAAATTTGTTGACATAAAGAGATAGAAATTTAAAGTGACGTCTTTTATTACTTCGAATGAAAAAAATCGATAATGCAATTTTCTAACCTAAAAAAAAATCGTGATGATATGTCAAACAAAATTGAACTTGGCCTTAAGGCCTTTTTCTTGGAGGCATATAGTATTCTTCGTACTCGTCAGTTATAGAATATTTTACATTATTGCATCGCCAGCCATCTTCTAGAAACAACTGTCAAAAAAATCTGACATTTCTAGGTTAAGTTTGTTGTCATTCGTTCGTAAATTTTAGTATACTTTACAATTTTATTATTAGTTTCTTAGTCATTCAACGTCCAGTTCCATTTCATAATCAGGTTTTCTAGATTTCATTTCATCACATCATATATGTTTCTTAATTTAGTTTATCTGATCTAGATAAAAATTGTTTTTTAAACATGAGCGAGGATTACTTGTATTATTCAAACGAGAAACTTCATAATTTCATTCAATCGGCAAAAACTAAGGACGAAGGGGTCCTGGAATATCTGAAAAATGTGAAATACGGCCCGGTTCAAGACTTTCCTTCTGGTAAAATTAATATTTGTGCATTTAGCTCGAGTTTGTAATTAAAATAATTGATTCATTTTAGGTTTGGAATGGTTTAATGTGTCGGAACCACTTTCTTTTAAAAATCATTTGAAAGGGAAGGTGGTTGTTTTAGATTTTTTCACGTACTGTTGCATAAATTGTATGCATATTCTTCCTGATTTAAAGGATATTGAGAGTAAATTTTCTGTTGAAGATGGACTAGTTGTGGTAAGTTATTACCCGTTCAGTCATTCTTTAAATCTAAGACCTTTGCGATTCCGACAAAAATAAAGCATTATGTATAATATTAGAAACAACTATCCCTAACCCATTCCAATACTACCATTTATGTTGAGGAAATTATTAATAACCTTGCATTACATATTAAAAAATTCACTTATTTCTGATACAGTCAGCCATATCTTCTGTTTTCTATAATTGTTAAACAGTACACCAGTAAACTTTTTATTATGTGTAGTTTATGAGGTATTAACCCTCACAAGTGTGAATTATATAATTATTACTTGATAGTGGCTTAAATATAGTGACAAATGACAGGAGCAGGAAAATTAATTTGAATCACAAATATTAATATGGGTATGTTCCTACACATGGGCAAACCATATTACGATACAAATCATGCCCTGTACACGTTTTCTGCATAGAGTGCATCATTTGTATTGTAATATGGTTTTTGCATGTGTTTGAATAGACCTTATACATAAACTTTTGGTCTAAAATGATTAAAACTGCAATATTTATTCTATTTGTTTTAAAAAGGTGGGTGTTCACAGTGCGAAGTTCGAAAATGAAAAAATTTCTTCTAATGTCTTAGCTGCTGTTCAACGTTATAACATATCGCACCCTGTCGTGAACGATGCTACTTCTGATATGTGGAAAAACTGTGATGTCCATTGCTGGCCCACCTTACTCCTTCTAGGCCCCAATGGCAATCCGATTGTTATGTTGACAGGAGAAGGACACAAAGATGATCTTATTTTGTATATTAGCAATGCGATCAGTTATTATAAGGAAAAGGGATTGATTTCAAATCATAAGTTACCAATTAGAAGCGCTTACCATCTTTTGCCCGATTTAAAGGGGCCTCTGTTATTTCCAGGCAAAATTACTAATATTTTAGATGAAAACAACCATGAAATTTTAGGTAAGTACGGATATCTTTGTATCTTGCCACTAGTATTGCCAACGACAGAGCCTTACAAAAAACCACCTCTCCACTAAAAATTATCTGAAACATGAAGTATCCCCCACATTTATAAATTGTGAGTGAAAATATCAGCGCACATTACTTAATGTTGAATATTGTTTGTCCAAATTGTCCCTTTTTTATCTGGGTGAAAAATGTATCTACTACCAACCCAAATTATCTGCAATTAGGATAATTATCCACCACAGAACTGAAATTAGGAGAATAGATTTAATTTTAATTCTCGCTCAAAATGTACGTTTGGATACATAAGTTTAGTCTTAATTTTAATATCATTTTTAATTTTAAAATTAAATTTAGTTGATTTTTTATATATCAAAAGTATATTTGATTTCTTTTTATACTATTTCCATTTTGTTTAATATGAATTGTTTCAAGATTAGCTGAAACTCATTGAACTCCTTTTGATTTTGCACAATGAGGTATCAGTAAGATATGTCAATCAGTATTTGTGAAAATAAATGTTAATTTATTTTAAAACAATTTTACAGAAGGTTAGAACTTTGATTTTGTTAATTATATTGTTAGATATTTTTGTAAAGCAAAATTGTACCATCCTGTGTTGTAATAAAGGAGTACATTTTTTGAGAGATACATAATAGCTTAACATTCAACTACATTAGAAATAAGTATTTAGAATCAGAATCAGAAATTTTAAAATGGCTAAGTTATTATTTAGATTCACGTCAGATATGTAAATCAGAATTGAAAAGTCTAACCCGAGGAGTACCACAAGGCTTAGTTTTGGGACCACTAATATTTTTGTATGTAAATGATCTTTCTCAACATGTGTCTGCTGATTATACCATACCCTATGCCGACGATACAACTTTAGCATCTCATGCAACTTCTCCAGATGAGCTGCAGCAGAAGCTTCACTTAGTAGCTTCAGATTTTTCAACTTGGTGCAATAAAAAAATTCCTTAATCTTAAATTCTGATAAAACAGTTGCTCTTCGGCTTTTTCTAGGAATAGAATTTATGATAATATATGTGTAAAGGTAAATTACAATGATGTCTACTTGTTGCAGAGAACAAAATTTCTGGGGGTACTGCTAGATAGTAATATGAGCTGGGAATCAAATATTAATTACATATATAAAAAGGTTAATAGCGTTTGTTATGCTCTACTTCAATTAAAACATATTTACATTTAACCAACTTCTACAGGTATATTATGCAATAGTATATTCACACATATCATACAATATTACACTCTGGGGAAATTATCCTGCTGCTACAAGAGTATTTATTGCACAAAAAAGAGCAATTAGACTTGTCTTCAATCTGGAATCAAGACAAACATGCAGGGATCATTTTATTAAATATCACATACTCACTCTACCCTCTATATATAAGACAATCATATATACAAAATTATGCTAAATTTTTCAGAAACAATGATTGTCATATGAACAGTCCTGAGTATGCAGGAATTCAATTATTTAATAAACTGCCAGCTGATATTAAAAACATAAAATCCATTAACAGCTTTAAACAAACATTAAAAAAAAAGAACCAATAAAGATTTATTTATTTTATTATTAAAGTCGATTCTAGAACTATCAAATCGCTCATGTATTCTAAGCAGTTTTAAATCACATACTGAATTCCTGTGAACTTCCTGTTAGAATAAAGGATAATTTACAATATATAATATTGTGTAGGTATTTCATAAAAAAATCTGTTTTATTATAAAACTAGCTTTTAGGAAATATAAATATTATTTTGAAGTGTTTCATTATTTGTTTATTATCTTAGTTGTATGGGTTGTAGCGGAAAGTAAACATATAAATATGTTTAGTTTTGTACTAAATTCGTAGACAAGTCAATCGCTCCAAGTGGTTTATATACCAACAGTCAAAGTATGTTTTAAGGTATTTTTAAAAAACTCCGTTTCTTAAGACGTCTTTACAACCCATAGGCATTGTATAAAGAGCTATAGTAGGATAATCGCCATGTAAAAGTTATTGGAAGCAACGCGCCCCACACCTATTGGTACAATATTTGAACTAACGATTTTATTTGCTGGTCAAATGCGCACTCTACGTCAGATGTTAGAACTTTATAAGCGATAATTCTGTCAAATTAATTGTCAATATATATTTTTTTAGTTATTGAGATTAAATATAATTAAAAATTAGTGATTCTTGTGAAGAATCAATAAATAATAGCATTCCACAAGATATTTGTCTATATTTAGAAATAAATTGAGATTTTAATGAAACTAAAAACAATCTGATTATCAGTGTTAAAAAGTAAAACTTTTTCATAAGTGTCAATAACGGAAACTTACGAGTCCTCGCCTGTGAATCGAGGGGTTCAGAGTTCAAACCCACGAGCAAACACCTTTTTTATTAATTTTATTTTCTAAATTGGTAAAACTCATAAATTAATTTCAAAACATTAATTTTATGTTAATGACATCTAAATCTTTATGCTCATATTTCGTCTTCGTGCGATGGCCACTCGGGATCATCAAATTATAATAAAATATTATAAGGTCCGGTAATTTTTTTAAAATCTTGAGACAAGCTAAAAATGTGTGTCTAAATGAGAAATATACCGAAAATATTTAACTTTTGCTAATAAATTTGTATTATTAGGTATGTGTTAAAAGAAAATTACATCATGTTGGATTTGAATATACAGTGTGTCGCAAAATGTCGGCACCAAGAAAACACGAAATTACATTTTTCTTTAATCTACGTAAAAAAGTGCGAATTAAAAAATTTTTACTGAAAATTATTAGGTACCTACAGGGTTATTCATTATAAATTACCCACCCATTATGCCATAGTTATTATTGTATAATATTTACATTGACCGAATTTTGTTAAAATTTCATCAAGAATACAATGACCATATTAGTGGCATGCATCTTTCACGGGATACAACATGAATAATATTTTTTAATAGGGATAGCATAGATATATATTTTATGCAATTTTCGGAATGATCTTTATTCTTTCCTGATTAATTAAACGTCGAATATCTTATAGTTTAGATTAATATTTACACTTTTTCTTCCTCACTGTAAACTACCTATTTGGATTATTTTATTATCAAACATAATAGTTGTGATTTTCATAGCTTTTACTTTAATATAATGTTAACATTTTCATATTTACATTATCAACGTTAAATTACTCGAGAACAGTCGGTATAAGATAGGGTTATCAATAATATTATACATTTTTGAAATTAGAAAAAAATATATCCCAGAAATTTAATAACATAGAGGGTATCCCATTTAAAAAAGTTTATTTGTGTTGTATTCCATGAAATCTGAATAAGAATGTGTTTTATAACATATTTAAAAAAGTCAGCCATATCCACAAACTTTTATTTAAAGCTTATTTTTAATATGCGATAGTGGTTATAAAAGGTGTCTTTAATAATGAATAATCTTGTACATGATCTCAAATAAATTTGTTGAAATTAATTTCATTTGTAAAAATGTCACTTCTCCTTCTCCCGTATTGCTAAAAAAAAAAAATTGTGTCCGGGTCTGGGATTTGATGGTAAATATTGATTCTAAATACATTTTTCAAGTAACATTGTCCTCCTGGTTTTAGAAATAAAGCTTACTGTTTAGCCAAATTCATATATTTTTTTTGGACACATATAATATTAAAAACTTCCCCTACTAAATATTTTTTGACTCAATCAAAGTAGATATCTTAAATTGATTGTTCTTAGAAAAAGTAGAAATAATATTAAATATGATAAAGAAATTTAAAAAATCATTTAAAATTACTTTAAGTTATATTATTCAAAGAAACAAATTTTTAGCTTGGACCTAAATAAAACAGTAAACGAAATATGCTTAGAAAAAAAATTACCCGTTTTTACTGAATTCGCTAAACATTTTTGACACTTTCAAAAAACTTACTTAGACTATAATTTAAATTTTTTTATATAAATCATGTACTCTTGTTGGGAACTCGTCCTTTATTAACAGTAAAATAATTCAGTAATAAAAAATAAACAACTAATTCACAATACCTACTACCCATAAACGCACTAACGCACAATAACAACTATTACCATTACCTAGAAAATAGTCCAAACAATGAATAACGAGTGAATAAAATTTCATCTAAAAGCTAAAAATAGAAACCCATCGGTCTCCGTCATCCGCAAAAATTTCAGCTTTACCCTCAAGTTCGCCCACTTCAAAACAAGCAACTTTCGACTCATCCAAATTCACTAGCGCTATCTATTGGTAGTATCCATTTCACTCCAATAAAACTTCCATAAGATGATACTACTATTAGTTCTTTATACAATGTCATAGGCACCCAGGAAGTGTTTATTTTTCATAAAACTACATTTACATACATTTTTATATGAGCAAACACCAACCTTAATGACATGAAACAATGTAAATCGTAATTTCCCATTTTATTAATTAGTATCCTAATACATTTTTAGCCGTTTCTGATTCGGGCAACAACAGGATCCTTATATTGAAAGAAGACGGCACCATTTTACAACAAATCGGTGGCAACAGAAAAGGTTTCAAAGATGGTAATCTGGAAGAAGCTGAATTCGATAATCCGCAAGGCCTTGCTTTTCTAAATAGAGACGTACTGTATGTGGCCGATACCGAGAACCATGCTATAAGGAAAGTTGATTTAAAGAATAAATGTGTTGTTACTGTAGCAGGTAAAATAATAATAGAATATTTTAGTTTTAAAGAATTTACTAGACTTGGCTTGCTACTTGAAAAGTATATTCGTAGAGAGATATGACAGCGCCATCCATTCTTTTTGTAACTACTATAAATTATTTTTGAAGAAATTGATAATAAAAATATTTTTAGACTTAAGTAAGACATTTGACTGTGTTCATCATTCAATTCTCTTAGGACCGATTCCACCGTTGTGTTAAACGGAGATTAAAATGACGTTGTTAATGTACAAATGTCATTTTAAACTTCGTTTAACACAACGGTGGAATCGGTCCTTAGTAAACTACAATATTATACTTTTTTTAAACATTACTTACAAAATAGGTACCTACCAAATAGTGAAATACCTACTGCAAAACCTGTAGAGATAGATGTACTACAAGGTTCCAATCCTTGGGCTAATATTTTTAATTTACTTTAATGACGTCAGCATGAGTTTAAGCAAATAATATGTTCCTATAAGCAAACTTCTATTGCCTTGGATCAAGTGACTGACTAATTAAAAGAGAACAGACTGAAATTTAATACAAGGCTAAATGCAAATAGGTCATTTTTCTTTTAAAACAAAATATTATTAATATTATTATTGTTTATAACAATCAAGGGACATAGTCGATGAAGCTGCTCCTTTAGTTAGTAACAAAAATTATTCTAAATCACTACGTGACAGTTAAAATCCAATACACTATAAACTATAATGAATAAAACTATTTTTTCTTTCTTCGAGTTCTATATCCACTCTCGCCTTGAACTGGTTTATGTTCTGGGATGAGACTGTATGTTGCTGGAGACCATTCCACAGATATACAATTCTGTTTGTTACGAAATTTTTTCTTTGCAGTTTATTACACTTTTCTTTATCTAATTTCTTCAAGTGACCTCTCAAGGTTCTTGGCCTGGAAGATGTTATGACAAGTGTAATATCCGCTGGTCCACTTGTAAGTTTCTATTAAGTATCCTCTAGTTCTTCTATCCTTTAAACTTGGAAGTTCTAGTTTGGCTAGCCGATCACAATACTCATTGTTTTTTAGAATTGGTGGTATTTTGGTGATTCTCCTTTGTACTCTTTCCAGTAGTTCAATGTTTTAATGTATTTCACAAAGTATGGATCCCAGTGCAAATTCTATCTTTGGTCTTATGTAAATTGTATATAATTTGAGGATCATATCTTCGGAATGGTCTGTAAAATCTCTTTTGATAAGGTAAATGAGACTGTTGACTTTGTTCACTATATTAGCAATGTGAGGTTCCCATTTTAAGTCTTTAGACATGGTTACACCAAGATCCTTTTGTGTTTCGACAGGAGTAATTGCGTTTGTATCTTAGGTATACTGTATGTGGGGATTATTTGGACCTATATGCAATACTGTACACTTGTTTATGTTGAGAGGTAGTAGCCATTGTTGGGACCAGATTCCTATTTTATTCAAGTCTTGTTTCATTTTGTGAGAGCTTTCCAGTGGCTTACAGTAGATCTTTCCATCGTCTGCATAAAAGTTAGCTTCGGACTCGATGATTTTGCATACAACAGCTAAGTTTTTAGAAATATTTGATTCTTCATTAAAATGGAAAAATACATAAATTGTTTAGTAAATAATAAATCAGATGTGTCTAATACATGACTTTTCTTTATAGTTATTACATGCTTTTTCCGGTTATTTTGTACAACCTATTGTATCACCCCTGTAAATGTTTAGAGGATGACCTAAATTCATGCATTTTCCATAAACATCTTACTCGAAACATTTTTTTATATATACCTATTCATTGCCAATGAAAATACTGAAAATTTGAAATTTTACACTTTTTCTCAAATTTTTCAATTACGGTCCATTTTAGAGAAATCATGTATAGCACAAACATTATAGAGAATGATATCGCAAACAACTTTTATTTGAAAAATTTTTCTAAAAATTCAAATTTAACATTTTTTTTACAATTTCTCGAATACGGACCATTTTAGGAAAATTATGTATAGGACAAAAATTATGGCGAATAACATTACAAGCAACTTTTTGAAGAATTTTCTTCTCTAAGAGATATATTCTATAAAATATAAAAACGACCCTCTACCGGGTGTTCAAATTAAAGTGTTACAGTTGAATACCGCCGAAAATATGCATTTTATAAAAAAAAGTTTTATAGTTTTTTGCGGGAAACAAACATTTTGGCTAAATTCATTTTTTTATAGCTGACCATAATATGGCCATATCGAGGTGGACTTTTTTTTTTCAAATTGGAAGCCAATTTTTTTACATATTCTTAAAGTTCATAAAAAATAAGAAACTTTTAAAGGAAACATTTTTTTTTTATTGGACTTTTACTTATTGAGTAACACCTACTTAAAAATTCTGCTGCGCAAAAAAAAAAGTTGACCATATTATGGTTAGCTATAAAAAACGATTTTAGCCAAAATGTTTTCCCCAAAAAACTATAAAACTTTCGCCTGAAACGTTTTTTTATAAAAGGCGGTATTTAACTGTAACACATTAATTTGAACACTTGGTATAAAGTACCCCCTCCCCACTCCAGATGTACCGACTATGCCTAACATTTAATTAGTTCACTGCAGGATGAATTAAAGCCTAAATTTAAAATTTGGTCTTAATCCGTTTTTGAGTTATCTATTAAACAGACACACACATAAATCACCGCGAAAATAGTCAAAACGGATTCAGGGAACCCCAAAACGTAAAAATCCGTCAAAAACTCTAGGTCGAAAAAATCATCATTCCTATACTTTCCTTATCTCTATACAGACAGGAAAGTAACAAGGTTGTATTTTATTTTTCAAACTCTCATAGCTCTGATGACAACCTTAAACAAATGTAAATTTGTAGTTTGGGCAATTAATTTAATGTATTTGTACTTTTCAAATAGCGTGTCGATTCTGCAAAAGTTGTTTCGAATAATTCATGAAATGATATCTTTTTTTAACACTATTAAGAACCTTTAGATTCTTCTACAGCTCTGCCTTATTTCTTTAGGTACCGGTGAACAAGGCGAGGATCACTTAGGTGGCAAAATCGGACCACAACAACCGATTTCGTCGCCTTGGGATTTATGCATTTTCCATACTCCCGACATGGATCTAACGTTCCATCCTGATGGGAAACCCCCTGTCAGAGACGTCCTTATCATCGCCATGGCCGGCACTCATCAAATATGGGCGCTGTTTTTGACGGACACTGTATGGTGGAAATGCAAAAAATATTCTGCCGGTAAAGTATATTTGATCTATAACAAAAAAAAAATTATTAATTACGATAGTATGAAAAGTGTTTTTCATAGAAAAATAACTATTTTTATTGTAGTAGTAGATAGAGCGGCTCTTAATTCCACTTTCATTGATTTTTCTCCAGATCTGGGGAAATTTGTGGAGTAGATCTGGCAACACTGCACTTTTTTTAAATATCTTTATTGTAAAACTATACATAATATACTTTTTGTAATGTTTTATATCTCTTAGACTTTTACTGTACAATGTATATCATTGTTCTTGGTACAAATAAAGATTTCTTTCGTCGTTTATAATTCAATGGTAAGTAAGCCTACTAATTATCCAGAAAATTGGTACCTCTTTTAGACCGTCCAAATCGATAGATCCCTTAGATAGATAACGTTGATGAGATGTAAGGACATAAGATTCATGTTCATCGAGTTCTACGGTTGGGGAGACATTGAGGAAGCTTCTGGAGGCTCAAGAAACAAGAGGAGCTGAAGAAGTGATTTAGGACCATCTTCGGTTGGAAGAGACATTGAAGGAGCCTCTGGAGATTCGAAGACAAAAAGAGAAGCTGAAAAACTAACATAATATCATCTTACTTTGGAAGAGACGCTAAAGAAGCATCTGGAGACTCAGAAGATGAAAAAGTGAAACTGAAGTTGACATAGGACCATGTTCGGTTGAAGGAGATGTTGGAGAAGTCTCTGAAGTCTGGAAGACAAGAAGAGAAGCTGAAGGAGTAACATCCCAAGTAACATTTTTAGATTTATCAAAGTATACAAGGTAACCATAAAACCCTTTTTTAAGACACTGATAAAACTTTTGAATCCGCGAGATAGCCTTAGGGCTGCTATAAATCTGCTTTAAGAGTATGTGACAGGCTTCTGGTTCACCTACAGTGAATCAGGGAGTCTGTGTGGCGCTAAGATGGTGATTCCCGAATAGGGGTTGCTCAGACGCCAGTTTTGGTATCACAGTTTGCTCTGCGACCCTGTAGTACACCAGAGTGTACTCAAGGTAAACTCAGTGGAGTTAAAAATATTTCCAGGCGGTCACTGCTAACTAGGTAGCCACTAAACTAGAAAAAATAAAACACTTATCTCCTTTACACCTCGTACCCTACGGTACCTTGAAAGAGAACGGCTAAGAACCAGCAATAAGGGAAATGCAGGAATAGATAATAAAATATATATTTACAGAAAAAAATACATCGGTGGTAGTGCACGGTTTTGGCACGGCTGTAAACGGAAAATTAAATAAAATGAACAATTACAATTGAACGCGATTACAGGAAAGTAATTCCGGCTCCCTATATACAGAAAAATAATTAAAAAATACATTATTACAATTGAAAAACTAGGGAGGTTAAATAAAATAAATTATTACAATTGAAGCTAGTTTAATAATTATGGTTCCTCATATACGGAAAATTTATTAAAAATAAATTATTACAATTGAAAACTAGTTAAATATTCATGGTTCCCTGTATTCGGAAAATTTATTAAAAATAAATTATTACAATTGAAAACTAAAAAAAAAACTATAGGGAAATGATTGCGGTTCGATAGCACAGGAGGCTAATCAGTCCGGAAATTGTGAAACTCCCTGTATACGGAAAATTAATTTTAAAAATAAATTATTACAATTGAAAACTAAAAAAACTATAGGGAAATAATTGCAGTTCGATAGCACAGGAGGCTAATCGGTCCGGACATTGTGAAACTCCCTGTATACGGAAAATTAATTTTTAGTAATAAAAATTGATTAAATATGACGGTAATAAAATGTAAGAAAATAAATGAAATCAAAGTTATAATAAATAGAAAATAAATTTAATTTGATTAAAGTTTTCGGAACCCCCTGTATCTTAGTTCCGACCGGTCGACGCTGGCAATTTCGTCAAACGAGAATTATATGATTTACCACGATGTTTTGACGAAGAATGCGATGATTAAAGAAAAGATTATTTTGAGATTTGCCAAAGCCGATCAAAACGGTGTGTGAATTAATTATGATAGGAAACGTCGAGCTTCGTTCAATAATTAGTTGTTGACGGAAAACGGAATGATTCAAATATAATTGAATGAATAAATAAAAGAAACTTACATGAAAAATTATGTGTTTCTTTGAATATTTGGCCCATTTGCCCATTTCGGCGAAGCCACAAAACAAAACCACTAAATCCTAAATCAGGAAACAAACAAAATGCTACATAAAAAGGCGCTACATATTTGACAAGCAAACGTAAATTAAGAAAGGTTAAGCTCTCAAGAAGTCTTCTTTTCTGTACCGATCCGTTTTCCTTTGACATTTAGCCACACAGCAACAGCAATAGTTCCGCCTACTGTTACGGCTTACGTGTCTTTACAACTTTTTGAAACCCTATCGGTTTTCTGTCTAACTCTAAATAAAAATATTCCAGTCTGCGGCGCAGTGCGGTTCGATAAAAGCGCCCAATTTGCGCTTTTCAGATTTTTTTCGGCGCAAATGACTACTGAAAAGAGCCCAATTTGCGCGAAAGCGCCCAATCTGGCCACGCTGGAGCGGACAGCCCACGGTGGCCGGAAATCAAAGAAGAATTATCAGTTGTAATCGAATTTATGCTTTTTCCCTGGGCAAGCTTGAAGACCGGTAATCCGGAGTGCGGGGTACCACCACTACATCCAAATGTTTACTATTTCAAAATAAAAAAATATCCTACTAGTACCTTGACAAATACGAGTAGATAATTGATACGAAATCGATTCTACAAATGCCCATATGATATGTGGTTAAACAGCCAATGCCATATTTAAAATGGAGTATTTCTTCATTGTGTTCTATCTGTACCTAAAAACGGACATTAGCTTATAAAACTAATAAAGCAAAAAAAATACTTTTTTGGACTTTCCAGTTTTAAAAAGCTGCTGCTACACTTTTTAAAGCGTTTCATAAAACAATAGTAAAAACGAAAACATTCTTAAGTTCAATCAGACGGGCATAACCTAACCTTACTCTTGAGCTTCTTATTTACTCTACGAACAAGTCATTCAAAATATAAAAATTAGTAATAATATATTAACCATTTTTCTCTTTCACTGATCATTTCCAGAATATTAGGAGCCTAGGAATGTTTTGGTATTTGTTAAACAATGGAACACAATGAACTTATTAAACACTGGGGAGCAGGAGACACATATACAATTTTTTTTTCATTCTCTATGGAAAGCTATGTAGTTTTAAAAGAGCCCTATCGTTTACTAGATTAAATAAATTATAAGAGCTATGTTGTAAAATTGTAGAAAATGTACCTAAAAGGTTCTGGGATCAATTTAATTTAAAGTATAATCCTAAAACACTTTTTAAAGCCAAGTTTTAAAATATACTTACCTCTTTAACACCAAACCCATCTTAGGAGTATCTTCAAACTAAATAGTTCTAAAATTACTTATTAATTAACCCTTACAGGACAGCGATAAAGCATAGTTTACTTTAGGATAAACTAGTGTTCTTAAACAGATTTAAAGGAATCTATAAAACCAAGTAATAAGATCCATTTATCCTGCAAAAAAAAATAACTGAAATAAAATAATTATTTATTTTTATGCTTTTACAAAATTCTAATAAAACATAAATAAAAGATTCTCTTAAAAATGTTACTTGGGATTGAACTATCTTCGATTGGAGGAGACATTGAAGAAGCCTTTGGAAACTAGAACTCGAAGAAGAGGAGCTGAACAAGTAACGTAAGTACATCGACAAAGAAGAGACAGGGATGTTGTATTTAACAAACAACATGTGCAGTAGCATCTCCAATAAGACATTAATGTAGCGTTATTATTAGTTCTAATGGAACAAATCGTTGAAAGTGTAGTCAAGTGTTGCTCTATTTGTAATATTTAGCTTTTGATTGAATCGAATAATTCTAGGTACTTGCATAAACATTGCTGGTTCCGGACGAGAAGAGAATAAAAATAACAGTTACCCTCATGCAGCTGCGTTTGCGCAGCCGTCCGGGCTAGCTTTGTGCCAGAAAAATAAAGAGGTGTACATTGCCGACAGCGAGAGTTCCAGCGTTAGAAGGCTGTCTTTGGTCGATGGAAAAGTGACACCTGTTGTTGGAGGCGACAGAAATCCGCAGGTAATTGATTTGAATTATTTTCAGGCTTCTTTGTACTCAATCCAATTGTATTGCAGAACCTCTTCGCTTTCGGAGACATAGATGGCGTACTATTCGACGCCAAACTGCAGCACTTGCTCGGCCTAGCCCCCACCAATGATGAAAAAATCCTTTTCGTAGCCGATACCTACAATCACAAACTCAAAAAAATCAACCTGGCCGACAACTCGATCGTTTCCTTGACTTCGCCAACAGATGACACCACCGATGGTACTACAACTGGATTCAAAGAACCATCAGATGTCTGCATCAGCGTCGATAACAAGAAACTCTACGTTACTGACACTAACAACCACCAAATCAAAATAGTACATCTAAATAGCAAACAGAACGTGTCCACGGTGGAGAAATTGGAGTTAAAACTGCTAGAAGACGAAAAATTGACAGTCGACAAGTCTAAGTACGATATTGTGACGTACAGAGCTGTCAAAATCGATAGTAATGGCGGAAAAGTCGTGGTAGCTGTCAAATTGTCTTTCGATGACGGTTTGGGGCTGACAAATGGCGCTCCTACGAATTGGGCGGTGGATGTACCGGATTTAACTTGGTCTGCGGTACCGAAAAACGGTGCCGATCTTAACAATATCGAAACTGTGATTAATGTTCCCTCTGTCGGTGCTTCCGGGGATTATAATTTGGATTTATTGTTTAATTTGGTTACTTGCACGAAGGATGCTTGTCTGCCTAAGAGTTTTTTAGTTAGAATCCCGGTTGAATTTAGGAAAGGCGGGGAAGTTAAAGTTGACGAAAAGATTGAATTGGTTTTGAATCCTAATGGAGTTAAGTGTAAGTTATAAGGGTGGTAATCGTTTAATATAAATACTACAGTCATCGTTCCTATCTGCATTTGAAGTATAATCTAAAAAGGGGTTGCCATCAAAGGTTTGTTAGTTAAATGGCATCTTGTATCCATTCACGTGTGCCCTTTTATTCAACTGTTGTAGCAACGTTGGGATTGGTAAGATATCTTTGTTTTTTTTTTTTTTTTTTTTTTTTTTTCATCAATCTATCAATTGACTAACAATGGTATCTTTTTATTCAACGTATCAACGTTGTTGGCAAAGAAATTAAATCTTGTTCATGAATTGTTATTTTTATCGTAATTTTTTTGATTTGTTCAACTATCCTTATGACTAATGCTACTATTACAATTATAAATAGCTCCCCAGATCTGGGGAAAAATAACTGAATGGCAACGATGCAAACTATAATCATGTATGTAGTTTCGTTTCCTAGAGAAAAACATTTTTTTAAACTCTTGATAGTTTTAAAAAGTAAAAAACTAAACAGTAATTATTGTTACTATATTTTTGGGATTAATAAGTTTTAAAAATTGTTATATGGAATTTTAATTTTTATTATTCAATTTTCTATAAAATTAATTTAACACTTATTCTTTACGTTCAGTTTGTTTTTATCGTAGTGTAGAAAAAAAAACATGAACTAGAAAAAAATATTTTTTTCTCCACAAGATTGATAACAAGCGATATTAGCGTGCCGTTATTCATTACTAATTATTTAGCAAAAAAATGTGAAGTATTTGCGGTGCAATAACTTGAAATTTTAAATTGAAACCGTTCAAAATAATAAAACTAAAAATTAAAAATGTAAAAAATTCTCGATACAAAAAACCTCTAAAAAGTATGAAAATATACCGTTGCAGAAAGAATATCTACTTATTCAACATGCTGGCCATAAGAACAGCTTCCAGTAACCATGTCAGTTATTCTAATTTTACCCCAGATCTGGGAAAAAATAATTGAATGGCAACGATACAAACCATAATTACGTAACTAGTTTCGTTTTCTTAAATGACAGAATGGACGTTGCCATTCCGATTTTTCCCCAGATCTGGGGAAAAACATCTAAAAGGCAAAGTCGCAACCGAGACACCTCATTTTGATCATTACAAGTTAAATAAATTTGGCAAAACAGTAAAATAATGGACGATTGGCTGGTATTTATATTAAATTATCATCTCCTAGTGAAGGGCATTTTTTTCAAATGCTTTTATTAGTTTTAAAAGGTGTAAAAATTAAACAATAATTTTTGTTACTGTATTTTTGGGATTATTAAGTTTTAAAAATTGTTTTAATTAATTATTCATTGTAGCGGATTTTAGTTATTATTAAATTTTCTATAAAACGTATTAACACTTATTCTTTACGTTCGGTTTGTTCTTATCACTTTGCATTTTCAGTAGAAGTCTAAATATATTTTAAATTGAAATTTCTATTATAATAATAATGTGAAGTAAACAGATACAATGTAAATATGACCGAAAAATATTTTTTTTTTCAACTTTTATCGCAGTGTAGAAAAACACAACTATAGAGAAATATTGTACATCAGCGTGACGTTAATCATTAATAGCAAAAAAAAGTAAACCTCTAAAAAGTATGAAAATACGACATTGTAGAAAGAATAGCTATTTCCTCCACATCTTGGCCATGCGTTGTCCGTCTTTCTGATTTTTCTCCAGATCTGGGGTAAAATAACTAAATGGAAACGATGCAAATTATAATCACGTATCACATATGGCCCAATTACGGCCCGCACTAATCCCCACTTAAAATATTTGGCCCTCTTACAACAAAAAGTTTAGATGACTGAATGCAACGTTGATATTCCGATTTTTCCCCAGATCTGAAAATCTGTAAATATCAGTTTAATTATAGAATCGACCATATTTGAGATATTTGCTGACCCCTGGTCAGAAATTTACATTAAATACCAAGTGGGGTACACCAACCTTTTTTGTATAAATTTTTTCCTTTAATGTTTGTCATTAAGATTTATAAAAAAAATAAACACATTTTGATAGTAAAAAACAATATATTTTTCCATGTCATTTCCAAACATTAACAAATTAAATACGTCCACGAGCAAATTAAAGTTAGAAACAAAAAATATTTTAAGAAAAACATGCTATATAAAAAAAAAATAAGAGACAAAGTAAAAAATAACCGTGATACTTTTAAAATGGGATACATATTTTATTTTAAAAATTTCTGATTTCACCGGATACAAAATGGTTGCCATGTATTATTTAGGGACTTGTCATGACTGTATCTACTCGTATACAGTACCGACTCACCCGTCAAAATTAAGATGGGGCTCTTAATATTTGGACATGAGAGCAATAAAGGCAAGCATGGAATACACTGCGATGCGTACTCGGCGACGTATTATTCTATTTCTCTATTCAATAGCATTGTGTTTCTATACCGTTCTCCTTGAGTGTCAGGATTGAAAAGTTAGTATATTGAATATCTTTTTACAATAAATAGCAATTTATTGCAACTTTTTAATACTGTATCAGAAATATATTTATGAAAGGCTCTGAATATTTTGGAACATATCCTAAAAATGTATATCTGAGGTACAGTTGTACCCCGCTCTAGTTTATGAAGGTTAAGATGACGACTGAAGCTGGAAAGTAGATTTATGCCCAAAAACAACCCTTTATTTATTATTTCTTATGAAAAATTCTTTAAATCACTGGATTTTATTATTAGTAATATAATGAGCATAGAAAATCTTGTTGATAAAAAAAACAAACCGAAACTTATAGAATAAATTTATTTCCCTTTTGATGAAAAAATCACTTTTGCGTTTTTTTTTTTATTGTAACATTCGTAATTAAAAAAGGTATAAAAAAATAGGGACTGCCACGGTAAAGCTATTGCATAGCATTTTTTTATCAACTTATGCAATTATAATTATTTATTTATTTTATTTATGCAGTATTTTTTTTTTCTTTGATATTAATTCAAGTTACACTTTTTGAGCGTGGTGACCGATAAGAAAAAAATGTTTTTCTTTTATTGAATAAATGAGAAGTTAATATTTTTTTAAATATTTGTATTATCTTACAATACATGTAGATTATTCAGGAATTTTTATCATTGAAACTATAGGTTTATGGTAACTGAAATAAGAAACATAAGTTTGAGACTTGAAATCCTCTAAATATCTGGAAAATACCGCGTCAATGGTAGTCCCATATTTTGTTGTGGATTCTTGTGGATCATTATTCATTTTCAAATTCAATTTTTCCGAAATTTTTCGGTTTTCAGTTTTTCGATTTTCTTTTATTGAATAAATGAGAAGTTAATATTGTTTAACGCCGCACCGCTGTGCCGGTCGGAGTGGGGGGTGTTAGGTTTTTTTTCGTTACGGTGTTACGAAATTTCTTGATTCGGTCGCCACTCAAAGCCCGCGATAAAAGCTATGCAATAGCTTAAAAATAAACCGAAACGTATAGAATACATTATTTAATTTCTTTTGATGAAAAAAAAAATCCGAATAAAATAATTTTTTACGTTCCCTGTTTCGTTATTTTCAATAATCAAATATTTAATTCCGTTTTTTTTTTTCTAAGAGATTAATAAATTGCGTTGTTATAGTTTGTTTATGTAAAAATTTGTTTCGTTTGAAAATATGGCCTGCCAAAAAATGACTGAAATAACAGATGCATGTTTATGATGACAAATTTCACAATATTTACATCTATACCCAAATGGTTATGAATTATTAGAATGTACATATTTTTGATATTTTAATAAATTTTTTAGTTTCTATTGCGTTTACTTTTCTTTTCTACTCCAATACGTTAAGTTACTTTTACCAAAAATTGTCCTCAACGCTACTGTGTGTACTGCGACCCAGTACAGCACAAATGAAAAAAAAGATCAAATTATGAATGACGAATATTAAACGCCTGATGAAACAACGAAGAAGAAAGTAGGATTTCTTGGAAAAGAGTGTAAAATTTGTAGAAGTAAGAAAAAGAGAATTACATCTAGGTGCGTTTGTAATGCTTGTTTTTTTTATTTATCATAAACAAATACATCTATAGGTGTACTGGCAATGATATTTTCATTGGAGGTACCGACTACACTTCATAAGTTTTTTTTTATAGTTAAAAACGCTCCTGAAAGATTTTTTCGACCGGTGTAGGAATTGCGTCACGAGTAAGCAGGTCGGCACTAAACGTGTTAAATGTGCACTATCAGTTTTATATTAAATCTCGTAAAACTGATTTGGACCAATATTCGTTGTATTAATCAAATAGGTTTTTTTTTGAAGTGAAAACTTCTTTAGCGGCGTTGAGCACTTTTGAGGGATGGGTCAAAACTGTGAAACTATATATATATTTTTTAATCGATTTTAAGGGTTTCGATTAATTAAAAAAATCGATTTTTATAAAACAAAGCCTACACAGAACACGAGGCTAATGACCTTAGCAGTCGATGCCGATGACACCAAATAAAAAAAAAACAGCCAATAAACGTGCAATAAATTTCAATTTCAAAAATTTTTTATACGAGACTTCTTGTACGAAAATTTATTTATTTATTTATTCTCATGTCGCATCCGCATTGCTTCAAAAAAAAAATTGGAAAACGCTTTGATGAATTGCCAATGATTTTGAGTGGAGATTTCAACATTGATTGATTGATTGATTTTTCTGAGAGATAAACTTTTTAATGTACAATGTAATTTAATGTAACATAAATTGTAATGTGTGTGTATGATAGCGCAATAAATATTGTATTCTACCACATAAATGATAGTACTTTTATATTGATAATAAAAGCAATTCGTTCAAAATTATTCCCTAACTATTCCAAAAAATCAAAAATGCACAACGTTAATATTCAAGTTTTCACTTCTGTCGGCACTCCCGGAGTACAACCCGTGTTTTTTATCTCAACAAGGAAAGCGAGATTATCGATTTGCTGCCATTATTTTGGTGCTTAGCATTTCGGCGACACCACAACTTTTTACTCGTGTTTATTTGTAATTTTTGAATTAAACGACATTTGATTATCGGTTTGTTACAATGGTTTATTGTATAGCGAATGAATGTAACCGCATATTATGTTTCACAGGTAATTAATAAACATGAATCATTTATACTTGAAACATTTTCTTATATTTCTCATTTTATTTCGTTATTATACAACTTGGTATTTATATATTGTAAATTTTTCACTCCAGAGAAATAAAAGTTTGTATTTGTTATGCTTTTCATTCATTTTTAAGCAATTAATGATATTAAAATTGCCAAACAAGCAATTTTTTCCACTGGCGTGTCGTACAAAATTTCGTGAAACTGGTACACTGTTGCTTATGAAAAGTGTACCATAAATAAGCCCACAATAACAGATCAGGAAACTAATCAACAAAATATTCTTCTACCCCGTCATCGAAAATCCTAACACAAGTACTGCAAGTATTGCAAAAAAAGCAGTTTAAGCCAAACAAGTATAAAAATCTTTTTTATCGTCCATTTAAAATTCAGATGCACCAAAATTTGTATGGAACAGATTTTGAATGCAGGTTAGAATTATATTTATAGTTTTTGGAAAAAACAAGAGAAGATGAACAATTTTTCGGTCAAATACTATTCATTGATGAATCTACTTTACATAATAACGAATTTGTGAATTGTGAGATACTTTTCATTATTACAGCACCTAAAATAAATATGAATTTCAAACTGTAGATAGACAAAACCGATGGTCGTTAAACGTTTATGGTGTAATGATAGGAAGACAGTTGGTGAGGCCCTACTTTTTTGATGGCCATTTAAATGCAAGACATTATTGAAATAAGATTTCTGGAACCTTCTATTTCTTTAGATATTAGACGAAAAAATGTGGCTATATCTAGATGGTGCTCCCGCCCATTTTTCGCATAATGTCAAGATATATTTAAACCAAAAATTTCCTGTAAAATGAATAGGAAGAAGAGGCCCTAATTGCCCCCTAGACAACCCAACCAAAATCTAGATTTTTTTTTATGGGGATATGTTAAGAATGTAGTTTATCAAACTCAGCCGACCACCGCCGAAGACATGAAAACACGCATTCGTATGGACAATAATGGACATCATTTTAAATATTTATTGTAAATTCTAAATTTATTGACAAATTTTGGAATAAATATTTATTTAATGTTTGAAATTTATCGACTCATTGAAACTATTGATTAATAGGTTTAAAGGTTGTAGATATGAGCATAGGGAACCTTATAGAACTTTTAACTTAAATAAAATTTCCTTGATATTGGTACCCTAAAATACAGGGTATTCTATTTGAATTAAACATGTTACTGCAATAAAACTTCAAATTGCAAACACCCCGTATATTTTTTGAATATTTTAATGATTCTGATAAAAAGTTACAACCTCTTGTAGGGAACTGCCAACAATTCGTTAATGAATTATCAAAGATGAGAATTAAGATTATTTTTAAGAGTATAACTTAAAATTTAAAGAAAAAAATAGGGTGTCCCATTTAAAAAATATAACTTTTTATTAGCATTGGGGCAACCTGTATATATGAAACTAATTTTAATTTGTCGTTGACTTGTTTATTTTTGTGCCAATGGAATATTTAATATCTTTTGTAGTTTACCCACCAGGCTCCGTTCGGTTTAGCGTGACGTACCCTGTATATATATATATATATATATTTCTTGTATCATTTATTGTTCCTTATTTATTCTAATTTTTACCCTTATTTGAACTTGCTTTATACCTAAAAACATTAATAAAGTACTAATTACATAAATAAAAGTTCGTTGTTTTATTTCCAACATATATGTTACGCCTCTGGTCAAATATCAGAATGAAACACGATTTCCCTCCGAGCAATTACTAATAGAGGGAGCATGAAAACGAGTTTGTAGGCGAATGTTGTGTTAGCAACATCTGGAGAGGAAGTGAGGAAGCGGGCACAAGGGGGAAGGTAAACATCCTTCTTGTTCAGTGGCGTATCATTTATCTATAAAAACACACATTGTCCAAACGTTTTAATTGTAAAAAAAAACTAAAAAATTTGCTAATTTTACTATTTTTAAAATGAATACCGTCTTATATGTGTCTAATGCAGGAAATGAAACAGAATCACTGCAAAGGTCTAATTTTTTCAATTGAAGAATAAAACCTTAAAATCAATTTTATTATAAATAAATAGAGGAGCGACTAGTTTCGGCCTTACAGGGACATCTTCAGGCCTGTAATACAATAATCTTTAATTAATATAATAGGTTGATCACTTACGAATAACATTAAATAGTATAAACCACAAAAATGGATCAATATTGTAGCGTTACAGCATTATAGAATTAAAGCTGGGAAAATAAAAAAGCAGTGCAAACGTAACTAAAAAGAAAACTGAGTACGGAATCTACAAGAGAAGAGGTGAGAATGAGCAATTACGAATGCATTTAAATTGCCTGGGGATAACAAATAAAGCTGTAAATCTAAAGAATGTAAGGATCAAAGGGAAGACGAATCTTGCTGGCTCAGGTGTAGATGGCTAGAAAAAGGAGCGTGTAGATGAAAGCTCCAGTAAATATTGTCACTTTCGTCTAATTTTTTATTCTCACTCACCGTTTCGGCTATCTTCGAAATTCATTTTTAAAAGGAAATAAAAGTAATCATTCATATAAGCATATAATAAAACAACATGAATTCATTATATTTAATAAGCTAATAAACGTTTGTTTCAATGAAAAAAACATATATGTGAATATAAAAAATATATTAATAGATAAGATTAATATCAAAATCAATTTGAAAATACAACAGATAATAAAATAATACAATTAATACAAGTACAAATAGAAAGTTAATAACATACCTTCTAAAAGTAACACATTTTAAGTAGATAAATATTTAAAGAGTTTATTCTTGAACATAACTAATCTAACGTTTTTCCCCTTTTTAATATTATAAGGGTTTTTGTAGTTGAAATGAAAATTATAATTTATTTTGGTCCTAATAAAAATTTAAACATAGGTTATCAAAGAGTAAAATACATAATAGAACTTCATAATCTTAAATCGTTATCAAAAATTATTAATGGTAAAACTTCAAACAATAATTAAATTCTTAAACAAATTTCTAGTTTTTGTTTTGCAAAAGAATTTTTTGCCTTCTTCGGTTGCCTCTGCCACTTTTCTTTTAGTAGTTTCGAGGAGAATTTTCTTATGGAAACCAGTAGAACCATCAATTGGTTGGTAAAATTTTGATATTTTGGGTCTGGTAAGTTTTGTTAAACTTTCTTCTTAGGAAGCTGTAACCTTATGGAGAATAAAAATTTAATGTTAGATCAAAAGCTCTTAATTGAGAATTATATTTGCAAAGGCCGTTTTAATAATATTTTCGAAAGTTCTTGGAATCGTTGTTAACAGAAACCTGCAAAAAAATATATCATTTTATTCCTAAAATATAAGATATCACACAAATGCACATTCATATGATATCATTGTGCTAGAAAAATACTAGGTAGGTACTGAGACAATTTAAAAAAAGTATTTCAAGAAACTCAACTTTTAATGTCATCATTGTACTTAACTTTTTTATTGCTAAATTATTAATAATGTCATTTTGTGTAATTCGTTGTGATTTGTATAATATATATATTATAAAAACCTATCGTCAATGTTAATGTGCCAAGTTTTTTTAATAATTATGTCCTTGTTATAGTAAAAACACATTTTTAAAGTTTTCCGA